CCACCGGCTGAGTAAGAAAAGAGAACGCAGTTCGGGGCTGACATCGTTCATATCCGATCAGTGCAGGTTGCATGGGAGGTACGAGGTGGCACGCACGAAACGTCACCCATATTTGGAAGGCAGTGAGCATGCCCATCTTAGGGCCCCACACAAAAGTTGAACGAATTCAAACACCAAACGCACGTTGCGTCACGCCCGATCAGTGTTTTCAGTGCGTTTCACGAAAACAACCATAGGAAATTCATACGGTGCCGGAAAATTATGAAAACTTGCAGGCATGATGGCCCTGCCGATGAGTGCATGTGGAAAAGTTAGGGGCCCACCGGCTGAGTAAGAAAAGAAATCATAGGAAATTCAAACCATAGGAAAATAATGAATGTTGCATTAAAAAATGCACAAATATTTTTTGAAATGTCAAAGTAGAATGCATGTTTTTAATAAATGCACCGTGGGCCAGCTGGCAGTAGTTATACGGGACGGGCGTAGTGGCCCACTATGACCGTGACCACGTATATGACGACGTACGTGCGTGCATAGCATGGAAACCACGCCGCCATTACCTTTCCCCAGGACCGCCTAACCCCGCCGCTTTCACGCACGCCCTCCCCCCGATCCGACGGTGACACCGCCGTGGCCGTCCCAACTCCCGTCCCTACCGGCCTGACGGCGGCCATACAGTCCGGCATCTGCGCGTGCGACTTGGATCTCAGTCCCGGCCGTGCCGTCTCGGCAAAGTCGCCCGCACCCAAAACCCTAGGACGGGCCGTCGGCCAGTGCGCTGGTGTGGGCAGAGGGCGCGTGGCTGCCAGGAGTAACCCACACCGGGTGGGGTTAGGCAACGTGGGCTGCCGGTGCTCGTCGAGACGTAGGAAGGTATGGTATTAAACCATCACTTCTGTAATGTTTTTTGAATCTCGTAACTAGTTAGGTCACTGTCATCTTATGTAGAATGCAAGAATTGGGAGATGTGTACTGCTCGGTTGATAAGTGGTGCGAATTGGTGGGAAAATTCACACCCAGACAGCGCATGATGCTACGTGGCACAAATTTGGACTGTATGTTGAGAATTCCTTCAGTGAAAATGAGGAAAAATTTATTGGAATTTATGATTACAACTTATGATAGTAGTAGAAAGCGATTTATCATTCGTCCAAATACTGACGACATCAGTGTTCTTAATGAAGATGTCTATGACATATTCGAGCTACGTAACGAGGGTGATGATGTCATTAGCATGATAGCAACAGTACAACTAGGGATGGCAACGGGTCGGGTTTGGGGCGGGTGGAGCTGGTCCAAATCCAACCCATGATCCATCTTCCTACTCTTTGTCCATCCACCAAATTATCCATGGGCACAACTTGTGCCCATGCCCAAACCCGCTGGATACCCACATACCCATGGAGCTCCATGGGCATAGAAAAGTCAGCATGAAGCCTTCCCAAAGATCAAATTAGCTCATCATCATTCACTCACAAATGACAACATAAGCTACATGCATAAGTAGGCAACAAGTAATACGATGAGTCCTTAAGTGTGACACACTAGAGGTTGAATATAGCTTATGGCACCAGTTGCATATTGCCTGCCATTTCCCATTGGTTCGCTCTTTCTACTGTCACTGGCATATGGCCCCACATGTCATGCGGGTATCCATTGGATATCCATGGAGCACAAATTATAACCGTGCCCAACCCGACTGTTCATGTGTATTCATATCCACAGACCCATGGGCAGAAATGCGCTCCATACCCTTGCCCAACCGGGTCGAGTATCCATGGGTATCCAGATCCATGGATAAAATTGCAATCCCTAATTACAACTAGATGCCAAAAAATTATTCCGAATCGGTTTCTAGACAAAAGAACAGGCCCAATCCTCATCGATGATTTGGTAAAAAATATTGTTGATACTCAGTCATATGATGATGATTTTGTGAGAAGGGTCGTACTGGTTCTTTTGGGTACAGTCTTAGCACCACAATCCACCAAGTTTGTTCCTTATCGTTATTACAAAATGGTGGAGGACGTGAACGCTATCAAGTCATACAATTGGAACGATTTCATGTTGGGGGTGTGCATGGATGCTATTAAAAAATCAGTCGAAGATCTTGAAAAATTCAAGTGGCCTATCGGGAACTTGGCTCTTCTTCAGGTACAAGTCATTTCGTAAAAGTTGTATGTACATATAATTTTTATGTGATCTATGTGTCTGACTAATTGTGTTTACAATCTTGCAATATATATACTGGGAAAAAGTTGAGCCAATTGGTGTGGATACATTTGATCCATTGTCTCGTGAATACCCACTAATGCTTAATTGGCCAGAAACGGAAGGGAAAAAGCGAGACGACTATGACAACATGCACGGGCGTGGCACCGGCAATGTGAGTCAATAAGTATAGTCCTTATTGGTTGCACATACTAATTAAGTATATTTGGTATTTAATTTATTTTTTTGTTTGTTGTACAGATTGAAAACTGCGTTAGCAAAGAGTACAGACGTGCTAAGGTAGCACGTGAAGGGACCCTGAGGAAGAAACGAAGAAACCTAAACGGAAAGGTGGTGGCAGGAGTAGAAAGCCAAGCACGTGCGCGGTTTCCTCGAGCACGACTTATAGTATGGACCGTGTGATGACATACATAAAGCTACTTCACAAGGAGGTTCTAAATATACCCGAAAGATGTGCACAGGTAATTTAGAAGTTGTATTGAACATGTTATAATTGTTCAACTACTTATCGTGTTTCTTTTGTGTTTGCGGATGGTAATGGAAAGGTTGAACACGGATGGTGTGCTGTACAAACCCAATAAGAGGGACAACAATGACGAATTTGATAATGTAGGTGAAAGAGTTGGGATGGAGAATGGCCAGTACAAGTCATTAAAATATTGGCCAGATATTGATTCACCTACCGATGTAAAGATAGAAACATCTTTCACAGGTATCAATGATACATCCGTGCCCGTTGATGACACGGGTGCTCCGGCGACGACACCGGGTAAAGGTGAAGCTACTGATCATTTCATTATAGACGATAATGGAAACTCTCCATCTTTGGCATCAACTGTACGTACAAAAGACTGTCCTTCTTTGTCCCGAACCCCGCAGAATGCTGATATTTCTGGTGAGTCTATGGATGCTTTGTCACCAACTAAGTCTGAAGACACGTTCGAGAGTTACCCGGCAGAGAGCAACATAGGTAATGGTGAAGGCAGTCAGGAAAATGATGGTAAGCGCAAAAGAAAAAAGTCGAAATATTGCCAATCCCCCTACGACATTCTCGTTACCCGCAAGAAACGTGTTAAAAAAGTAAGTCAAGTACTATTTTATAATTCGTTCACGCGTTATGTAAATTTTGTTATTATTTTAAATGACTGCAGCTGCATTGTTTTAGATCTCTTTGCATCGTCATCACATTCAATTCTAGCAAGTTCTCTTAATATGACTCCGGATCACATAGAGGCAGCCAGAGTTTTTGTTGACACTCTCGCATCGTCAAAGAAGCATGCACACCGAACCGTGGTCGATGTGCCGCCACCAGATGGGGACATATGCACGCCAGCTATGCTTCACGATGTCCTCACGTTTAAATGGTTGGATGGCGCTGTAAGTATGAGTTTGGTTTTAACAAAACTCTCATTTGTACTTCACAACTTGATAGAATTTTTTTGTTTATGTATGCAGATCATCAATGCATATTTTAAACACCTGCAACACCGTGATTTTTCTGATCGTTACATATCAACAACGTGGTTCCCCAAATTTATGTTGAGTAGGGCAAGGGGAAAGACCAAGTCAGTAAATGATTTAGACTCAGAACATGTTACAAAGAAAACAAAATTCATCACAAGAGTAATGGATGAGTATTTTAGACGGGACAAGGTATTGCTTTCACATTTATTTGTTTTTATTAGTCATTGCAATTTAATTCAAATAACGTCATTTGGTTACTATGTAGGCGTATTTTCCTATGGACGTTAATGATAATCATTGGATAACCATAGTGATGCACACCGTCAAAGAGGAGTTTCAAGTTCTTGACTCAAATTCTAAAGGCGCAATTAGCCAAAGAATTCGCAATATGATTACCACCCTGGTACGCTATATTTTCCACACTCGTATTCAGAAAAATATTGAGGCATACATTAAATTCTGGTTTTGTTATTTTGTTTCAAAGAGCTGAAATATCTAAGGATATTATGGAGGCCAACTCAACTCTTGAATCAAAAAAAATTCCAGATGTCTCAACGTGGCCAATTAATGAGTATAAAATGCCGAGACAAAAAGATGGGTAAGTTAAACGAGTACAAGCAAGTGCATTCTATATCGTAAGTTGATCACACATGTTTATTGCAGAGTGTCTTGTGGACTTTTTGTGATGTGGTGCATAAAATACTGGGACGGAGATCGCTGGACACATGAATTTGACCAGGAACAGATTAATGAGTCAAGGCCACGTATTGTCGCGGAAATCATTTTTTCAGAGGTGAATAAATTAGAGAAGGTCAAGATGAAGATTGTTAAAATCATGGAGAAGGAATAGGTATTAGCATTGGTAGGGTTTTAGTCCCGTAGAAGGTTTCCCTACCTTTGTTGGATACTTTGATCAATTGTAATGCGACATGGCACTCGGACAGATTTCGACAATTTTTCACGTTTTATTTATCGCTTTCATGTGAGACTAAACATTTAAATGCGTGTGGGCAAGTAATATTATTGCTGTCCTAAAATGTATCACTTTGCGGCTGCGATGCTATATGTATTTTTGTTGTTTCAACTCATGGCGGTCATTTATTTAATAAAAAATATCCCCGCTGTCCTGACTTGGCGTGATGTGGACAAAACCTGCACAAATTCCCACGTCGATTCTGGTGGCAGCAGCGGCGCTGGATCCGACTAATATTCTAGCCCAGCCCGTGCGGTCGCCGACAGCCGAGGCAGTGGCGGGCCCGCGCACTCCAGCTAGTGCGGGCTGGCGTGATTCAGCGGGCGCCACGCGCGGGTCTGCTGGCCCAGCAGCCGACCGACCGACAGCCGCACGCCCGGTGGAATACGTCTCGTCCCGCCCCACCCAGCGGGCAACGATCCCGAGGGGGAATATGGCGATCTGTCGGGTCTTAAACGACGCGCCTCGGGCTCGTGGGCCGATCCTCTTCGTGTGCGGATGGGGACGCTGGCGCCTGTGCCGACTAGGTTTTGTCCCACCTTGCCCGCGGAGAGACGTGCCGATCGGTTTATATTCCCGTGTCGTCGCCTTCTCATAAGCTCACTACAGGAATATATGACGCCGTGCGCCCGCCCTGTTGTACGCCATGCCCTCCCCGCTCGGTGGCCTAAACGCCCCCCAGGAAGGCGTTGTAGTATATGACGCCGTGCGCCCGCCCGGCCACGGAGTGGCCTTTTTTTCAAATAGTTTTTACACTTACATTAAATTTTACAAATGTAAATCAGTTGACAAATTCATGTTTCACACATAATAATAAAAATCTGAGGCATGTCTCATAACATCGAACAAGGTGGCATAAAGATTAACTCATAATGCCACGTCTCTTATGCAAAGAAACAAATAAACTGAAAGTGCCAGTGCCTTCCATCGAACAAGTTGGCTTAAAGAATAAACTCAAAGTGCCATGTCTCTTATCCTTAAACAAATAAACTAAAATTGCCAGTGCCTTCAATTGATTATGAATACTTCATCTTTATGCCCGATTCCTACATAATAAATTGTAAACAACTCATCATACAATTGTAAATAGAGAAACAAAAAATAATTAAAATAATGTAAAACTTACTTTTCATTCTCAGGGCACATTTGCCGTCTATGCCCCTCGTTCTTACAAATGCCACAAAGAGGACCGGGTTTTTTCCTCAGAAAATGATTTTGGTCTTCCATTTTTTGTAACATTTGGATCTTTCTTTGCCCGCCCTGTCATGTTCTGTTTAGGGGCGCCCTTCATGGAAACTTTCACGGGATCACCTATGACATCAACATGTTGTTCCGGCTGACGTGGCTCTTCATGCACATTTCTTCTACTACCAACAACATCATTTTCAGGGACCTTTTTCTTCGCTATTATATTATGCAGACACTGCATCAACCCATCAAAGACGAATGGATCATTTGAAGCAACATGAAAAGCTTCAGCTCCTGTTATACTGAGTTGACTATAGGGAGCACGCTGCTCTTCCCCTGTCCAACCCCAGCCAAACATGTCACTCTTCCGTTGTGCAGGCAATCCACCTCTCGCAACTTTTGACATCCTCTTAAGGATGCAACACTTAGGTATTTTAGATATTTTCAGATGAACCAACACATACAGAATGTGTTTGCAAGGCAATCCTTTCCGAAGCATTCGTCCACAACTGCAGTCTATCGTATTCTTAGAGTTTTCAGCTCGATAATTCACGCTGAACTGAAATTTGCGGTTATTTCTCCATGTCACGATGAAGGTGTGGCAGTCAACTCCCACTAGCGTCTCAAAAATCTCAATCTCTCCCATCTTCTTCAGATCTTGTTGAAGAATATAAAAATTGGAATGAGTGAATACTTTGGCAGCATGCTTCTCAATATCCTTATATTCTGTGACTGATGGTGGCAAAGACTGATTTGAAACACAATCATCATGCGCCTCGTTCTCACGTAGTTGAACTATGCAATTCTCATAATGCACAACTAGGTTAACAATAGTCATACCGCCGTCCAGGTGAATGTGAAGACAAGAGTTAAGGCTTTCACTCGTCTGATTACTGCGCATACCCAGAAAAAAACCATCTGACAGATATGATGCTGCCCACAGACTCCTCTTCATGTACATCCTATTCAGCCACTCTTCTGTTTTATCAGTCTTCCATTTACGGACAAAAGCGTGCCATCTCGCCTCAAAGTTAGCTGGAGAGGTGGAGTAGTACAAGAGTGACCTGAACTCATTTAGCGATTTGTAATTAAGGTGCTTCTGCATGTTTTTTTCAATGTGCCATGAGTAGAGACGGTGCAACACATCAACCAAAACCAACAGAATGGCTCGTATCATTGCAGCATCTCCATCTGTGATGATTGACCTTGGCTTTTTCTGACAATTGGCCTTCAGGAATGTCTGGAGCAGCCACACGTACGTCGCTTCGGTCTCGTCGGACACAATGGCACAACCGAAAACTGTGGTGCAACAGTGGTTATTTACACCAACAAAGGGGATGAACGGCATACCATATCTGTTCATCTTATACGTGTTGTCGAACGCAGTCACATCTCCATACAACTGATAGTCCCGCCGCGACTGTGCATCACACCAGAACATGCTCTTCAGACGACCCTCCTTATCGAGCACATACTCAAAGAAAAAGTCTGGATCCTTCTCCTTTCTGCTCCTCATAATACCGATTGCTGTGTTAGCATCACCCTTCGCAATCAACTTCATTTTTTCTCGGCAACATAGGTTGTACACGTCTCGTCTCAGAAACCCACACTTATCATACCAGCCATACCTGCTAATGAAGTTGTCGACGATGATATGCTTTCTGATCCCAGCTCCTTCCATCGCCAAGATCTCAGCTATCTGGTGATCTCCCATCACTCGATGGGACCGCAGAAATACCACCTCATCTGGTCTAACCAACAAATGGTTGTGATCATCCATAAAATCTGCCACGAACCAAACTCCACGTCCTTTGTCCAACTTCACAACTAAATGTGCGCCACACTCGCAACGAGTCTCAGGTCTTAGCCTGCGGGTACGGCCCTCCTGGTCGTTTCACCTTATCTTTTCTAATACTGAATCCACGGTCTTTGGCGTAGTTATTAAAGACCATGTAGGCCTCCCATTGTGATGCAAATGTCATACCCATAATCTTCAACTGTGTCTCCAGCGCACATTGCTGGATTTCAGCTTCCTCAATGTCCATATTCGCTCCATCCTCATGCTCATATCCATCATCACCACTACAACCATCAAAGTTAGCCTATAATATTCCACATAAGCAAGTGTAAGTTGTCATTAACAAGTTTTTATTATTCAATGACATCTTAAATTTTGGACCGAACCTGACTTATGTTATCCGTGAAAGATTCAACACCATGATTTGCCTCGTTCTGGACGTCAATATCCTCCTGCACATAAAAAAAAATCATATACACATGTAAGTACCATATGGATCTTCATCCGACGAAAAGAATGTACACGTCACTTACGTTTTCACTACAAGCACCCTCCTCATTCTTTTGAAAATCCTCCTCAGGTAAATTATCGTACGACGACCAGGATTCATTGTCGCTGCTATCATCATCATTTTTACTATCATCACCATTAGTACGATCAACAGTATCGCTACCATCGCACTCACTCGTGTCCAAAAACAGATCCGTAAATGCAGTTTCTTTATCCATTGAATGATCTCACAACCAACACTGCAATATCATAATAAAAAATGATCTATCAATTTTAAATCAAATTAAATGTACTACGATCATACAGATGAGAACTTCTTATCTAACAAGTGATTTTTACACTAGTATAAAAACACCTAATAGTCCCGGTTCATAAGGGCCTTTAGTCCCGGTTCATGAACCGGGACTAATGGGTCGTTACTAATACCTTCACCCATTAGTCCCGGTTCAAACATGAACCGGGACCAATGTGCCTCCACATGGCCCTATGCGCCGAGCCCAGGCACCAACCGGGACCAAAAGTCCATGTTTTTTTAGAAAAGTGGCTGCTTTAGGGGTTTTGGGGGTTATTTTTAGGTTGTTATTAGCTAGATAATAGAGAGAAGTGTCCTCTCTTATTTCTTCGTCCTTGGTTTACCAACGTTGCTGCTATATATGTTCATTTCACCAGCTGATATAATAACTCATGCATGCTCGCATCATACATCATCATATATAATAACAAGTCCTACTAATCATGCATCATCATACAACTTCTACTCGTTATTAATAATAAGTCATACGATCATCATCCTCATAGTCATCGAACCCAACCCTACATAATTGTTCTTAGCACATGATCATCAGTATCAGGTAGGACACACACCCTTAAGGTAAAATAGCATAAAACAATATAGACCCGGACTCTCCATTATGAAGAATGGCGATCATCCTGTCTCCAATTTTTGCCCTTTGCTGATTGTTGCTTCCAAGAAGCTCCTTACGACTGTCCATACATTTTTTTCATTCTTTGATTGTCATGTCTCCACTTATTTTAGAAACCCGGTATGGACAGTTCAGATTCGTAGGAAGACCTGGTTGTATGTTCAAAACATGAAGGCTACCGTGTGTATACATCAGATGAGGCACACAATAATTCGGGATTATCTGTTGAAAAACATAGTAATAACTTCGTAGTTAGCAATGATGTACTAGTTTTAGAAGTGTGCAAAAAGATGCACGGATGTCGTAATAGTAAAAAATCTTACCAGGGTATCTCCATGGTAGTTACCGTAGTTCAACACGTGCACTAGTGGCACGTATTGACCATAATGTTGGGGAGTTTGATTGTAGACATTGTAATTCTCAAGATCAGTACAAAATCCGACCAGATGATTTTTCTC